CTCATAAGGAAGAGAAGTATGCGTTCTTGATCTCAGAGTCCAAAGTGCTGATCACCCGGGGCGGGTTTCTCTAGATGTCCTCCAGCCATGTGTGTGCCAAGACCCCTGGAGAGATGGCAAAAATACAGATTCCTGGCCCAAACCCAGGTCTCTAAGTGGAAGTCTTTGGGGGTAGGGTCCTGAAATCTAGATTGGTAACAGTCGCCAGAGGAGGTTCTTATACACATTAAAATTAGGAAATGACTGCCCTGAAGCTGTGTGACTTCAGCATTCCCTATTTATTTCCTTTGTTCTTTTTTAAGTGTGTGAGCTGGCCATGTCCTCACTTTCCCGAATCCTGGCCTCTGCTGCACCTAGTGCCCGTCCACACCTCTGCAACCTTTGCCGAGAGGGAGCCTCAGGGAGTGCGTGTACACCCAAGTCAGCTGGGGATTTTCCTCAGAGCTTTCCAAAAGCATGACTCGCGCATCTGGATTACGGCTGCCCTGGAATAAAGGCCCCTTGGTGCAATCAAGCTCAGTGTCAAGGGTGGAGTCTGAGACTCCCTGCAGCTGCTGAGAAGACCAGGGAGATAGCCTCAGACGAAGCCAGTGGGGCCATGGAGAGGTTTTGGATTTTGCAGCCAACTAGAGGATTGGGCAGGGCACAGGACCTTTCAGCCCATGAGGGCAGATGTGCTGGGCTTGGGGCCTGGAGCTCTCCACCTGGGGCCGCCTGCAGCTTGTGTTTCTGCTTCAGTTTAATCCCACTCCATTGTCACTCATGCCAGTACCCACAGCCCTCAACCATGCAGACCCCTCCCTCTAGCCCAGGCGTCCCCAAACTTTTTACACAGGGGGCCAGTTCACTGTCCCTCAGACTGTTGGAGGGCCGCCACATACTGTGCTCCTGTCACTGACCACCAATGAAAGAGGTGCCCCTTCCTGAAGTGTGGCGGGGGGGGGGGGGGCGGATAAATGGCCTCAGGGGGCCGCATGCGGCCCGTGGGCCGTAGTTTAGGGATGTCTGCTCTAGCCCATGCCCCATTGTTCTGGGTGTCCAGCTTCCTCTCATCAAGATGGATTCCCCCGAGCTGACCACTCCCTTGGCAGCTGCTGGGACTTTAAGGAGATAGCTCTGAAGGCCCCTCAGATTAAGAACCATAAAGCCACTACCCCCAGCCTCCTTTAAGTCCTCTCTCCTGTCCTCCTCTACCTTATTTCACCCCTGTCCTCTCTGCCCCCATCTCTCTTTTGCCCTTCCTGCCTTGATGGATTGAAACCAACGTTGTGTTCCGGCTTCTTGTGGTCCCGGTAAAAAGCTCTAAAGTGGTCGTGGTGGATGGGGAGAAGGGAGTGACTAGAGTGTGTGTGCCAGATTGGGGGCTGGGGGACTTTTGTCTTGTCTCTGATGGGAGGAGGAGGGGCATGTGTTCCACAGATCCTGCCCCTATGCTGGGGTTTCAGCAGAACCCCCCACACCCCCTCCCACTGTGGGGGCTAGACAGCCTGGGACCAGCCTGGGTATTCTTAGAACCTTCCTTGGATAGGAAGAGGAGTTCAGCTCAGCAAAGGTACCAAGTGGCCTGAAGGGCTCAGTCCGGGGCCAAGAGACCTTTCCATTTGTAGTTAGCAAATAGGAGTTAATTAAACAACTTACACCTGTTTGATTTTCTTACTATGCCTTAGTGGCTGCGCCGTAATTGTTCCTGATGTTGTTGTGGCAAACAGGAAGCCCACTTGGGGATAGATTACATGACAGAATAAGTTTAATATCGACATTTTCACAATCAATGGAGAGTGGGGCTTGGCCACAGGGGCAAGGAAGGGCTGAGATATCAGGTAGTCAATTCTCCCTCCTGCCTGGGGAATGTCTTCATAGCTCTTGTGCTGAAAGCTCTTCTTTTGTGAATCACGACTGAGATGCTGCAGGGGTCTGTGTGCTTTCTGATTTGAATCTATACCCAGTGGCTCTCACTATGGGATGTGTCTAAGTGGGTAAACCACTGGACACGCCAGCCTTTGGTTTGCAGCTCTCCACTTCTCAGACCATATGTGCCTAAACTTGGGGCATGAGGAGGTGCGAAGGATGGAGGGGACCACCGGCCCAGGAGGGAAATTCTGGCATCTCACAGTGTAGGCAGCAGAGGGGGTGCCTCGGCCCAGGAGGGGGCCTGCAGATTTCTAGGCACAGTGAGAAGGAAAGCCAGCTCTTCAGATTTCAGCCAGCGGTCCAAGGGGCCCCATCCTCAGGAGAACCACTCCAGAGATCTGAGTGCAGCTGAGGCTCCTGTGTTCAGTGCTTTGCCCCTCTAGAAACAGCCACCTGTGGTCTCCTTTTTTGTGTAGTAAGGAGCTCAGTTCTTTGGAGGGAGCGGGCATGAAGGTCAGCCTCCCTCATCCTTTAGTGAGAAGACCCCTTTACAATGATAACAGGGGGTTGGAAGAGGCAGCTGTGCCTGGTCTTGATCTCAGCAGCCTTTAGGGCCCAGTTGGTGGAGATTCAGAATGTATTTTAGCCAAAACCCCCTTTCGGTTCAGACCAGCTCCCACCCCTGGGCCCTGGGCCACTGCAATACTGTGGCCTTGTGTTGTTTGGGGCTGGTGTTGGCTGAGGTCTTGAAGCCTTGGGGAAAGCTGGGGGCAGAGAGGTAGATCTGGAGAGGTAAGTGAGGAGGGCATCCAGCTCCCGGTGTGTGTGTGTGTGTGTGTGTGTGTGTGTGTGTGTGTGTGTGTATGTGTGTGTGTGTGTGTATGTGTGTGGTGTGTATGGGGATGCAAGTGCCTGGTGCGGCATCTCTGTGCTAGCTCTCGGTGCTGTAACATGGCTGGCCTGTGTGGCCTGTGGTCTGTGTGTGTGTGTATGTTGATCTGGATGTTCTCATTTTGTGGTCGTCTGATCACTTGTTTTTGGCCATGGTCTTCTGTCAAAGTGTTTATTTTTAGAGGCTGCCACTTCTGGCCTAAGGGCTGATCCTTGGGCATGGTAGGAACATTTGCATTTTCTGAAATATTTGTGGCTTAAAGTATTTATTTGGGGTTATTCCTGCCTGTTATGTGTTTATTTTACTTTGTGTGTCTGGTGTGTATGTTTGTGTGTGTGTGTGTATGTGTGTGTGTCTGTGTGTGTTTGTGATAGGAGACAGGTGTAGCATAATAAAAATTGCATAGTCTTTGAAGGAAATTGGTTCTGATTTTAAATCTTGGCTTTATCCTTTATCAGGTAGCATTGTCTGCAATGGTTTCCCCTCTCAGAGACTCAGTTTCTCCCTGGCTGTGATCGGTGTAATTCTCTCTGTCTGGGAGGTGATGGCCACAGAGGATGCGAGTGTAGAGTGCCCAGTGAAGTGCTGGTGTCTGGGCTGTGCTCACTGCATGGTGGCTGGTGTTGTTGATGTCTGTGTGTACATGGCCACGCCAGTGTTTTCTGACTGTGGTTCTTTGCATTGTGCAGTACCTAGTGCGTGCGCACGCCTGGGTGTTTCTGATTTGGGTGATCTCTGATTGTCTTTGTGTCTGCGTTGGTGTGTGACTGCTGGTGTCTGGCTGGAGCTGGTGCAGTCTTTGGGAGGGGGCTTTTTCCTTGTTAACGGAGAGCCTGGATTAGAGTAAGGGGAGGGGAAGTGCTTGTGTGTGTGCGCGCGTATGCGTTTGTGTGTGTGTGCGTCTGTCGGGGCTGGCGGCTAGGCTGCTGACTGTACAGGGTGTGAAATCACTGAGTTCCTCTGGGCGGGGAAGTTCTTCATTCCTGAGTCAGCCCTTTGGCCCCGAGCCACCCAGCGCTCACTTTTTCCTTCCAGAGAAAGTGTTGCTTGGGGGGTCCTCAGAGCTGTCTGCAGACAGGGGGACCCTCTCCCCGCTGAAGACATCTTGTTTTTGTGTTCACGATCCCTAAGATGCTTCCCCTCCTACCCTAGTCCCCGAACTCCCTGCACCAGCACCGTATATGTCCCCATCCTCCAGCACAGGAAAAGCGTGTCCCCTCTGACACTGGGACTGTTGGCTTGGCCGAGCCCCACCTTGGCCCATACTTCAGGGGCCCCTGGGCTGGCTCAGAGCGGTGGGATCAGGACACTCATCTGTGCAGACCTGCTGCAATCCTGCCTGGCATACCTTCCCTGGACCCGCGACCCTTTCCTGGAGTCTTGGGTGGTATGGGCTGAGCTTGCTGGTGGAGGGTAAGGGGTCCGTGAGGGGTGGACAGTGCTGGGGAGGAGCTGGGAGGAGCCTTTGAGAATGTGGCAGTGAGCAGCATGAATGACATTGTATCTCTGAATGGTTCTAGTGCATTCTTTGCGTTGAGCTGGAGACAAACCTAGCTGAGGCTGGCAAGCTTGTCTTAGAGAGTCCCAGCTCTGTCTTCAGCTTCCCTGCCACCACCACCTTGGACATGGTGGGTCCTTTGCTGTACCCTACTGCCCTCCTGGGTTTCCCCCCTGCTTCCCTGGGCAAAGGCTATCCTCAGGGATGACTGGCTGTCCATGCTGATACCTCTATGGGCCTTCAAGGCAATGGCTACTCTCCTGACATTCTGCCTCTCACCCAGGGCGGGAACTCCAGAAATTGAAGCAGGGGTGAGACTTTCTGAGATGGGGTGGTGGAGGGGACTGAGGATGCTTTGGGAATGGTCATTCAGGAATTAATACTCATAATGGTGACGGTTTAGGGTTCCCTGCTGTCGACCTCCCACCACGTGCCAGGAGCTGGTCTCAGCACATCATGTGTCAACTCATTTAAACTTGAAGCACTGTGTGTTTAATGAATGTTGGCAGTTTCAGATGGTTCAACCAGATTCTATGATTATGCCCATTTTACGGACCAGAAAACTGGCTCAGAAGCTGGTGAAATGTCAGAGCTAGGCTTGGAACTGGAGCAGTTTGCCCCCAGCACTCGCTGCCCTGTGTTAGTGAGGATGCAGGGAATGAGAACTCTTAGCCCCTTTCTCCGGGAGAGTGAACGATACCCCTGCCTCCCACTAATGTCTGCTGTCTGTTGTCTCCCCTCTGGCTCTGTCCCTTGCAGAGGTGGTGGGACACACGCAGGGGCCACTGGATGGGAGCCTGTATGCCAAAGTGAAGAAGAAGGACTCCCTGCACGGCAGCACCGGGGCTGTTAATGCCACACGTCCTACACTGTCGGCCACCCCCAACCACGTGGAGCACACGCTTTCTGTGAGCAGTGACTCGGGCAACTCTACAGCCTCCACCAAGACAGACAAGACTGATGAGCCTGTCCCCGGGGCCTGCAGTGCTCCTGCTGCCCTGAGTCCCCAGGAGAAGCGGGAGCTAGACCGCCTGCTGAGCGGCTTTGGCTTAGAGCGAGAGAAGCAAGGCGCCATGTACCACGCCCAGCACCTCAGGTCCCGCCCAGCGGCAGGCCTGGCTGTGCCCTCCCCTGGACGCCACGTTGTCCCAGCCCAGGTTCATGTCAATGGTGGGGCGTTGCCATCTGAGCGGGAGACAGACATCCTGGATGATGAGTTGCCAAACCAGGATGGGCACAGTGCGGGCAGCATGGGCACACTGTCTTCCCTGGACGGGGTCACCAACACCAGTGAGGGGGGCTACCCAGAGGCCCTGTCCCCACTGACCAATGGTCTGGACAAGCCCTACCCCATGGAGCCTATGGTCAATGGAGGAGGATACCCCTACGAGTCCGCCAGCCAGGCAGGGCCTGCCCATGCTGGCCACACGGCCCCCATGCGGCCCTCCTACTCTGCCCAGGAGAGTTTAGCTGGCTACCAGCGGGAGGGGCCCCACCCAGCCTGGCCACAGCCAGTGACCACCTCCCACTATGGCCATGACCCCAGCGGTATGTTCCGCTCTCAATCCTTTTCGGAAGCTGAACCCCAGCTGCCCCCAGCTCCAGCCCGAGGGGGAAGCAGCCGGGAGGCTGTGCAGAGGGGGCTAAATTCATGGCAGCAGCAGCAGCAGCCTCGCCCACCTCCACGCCAGCAGGAAAGAACCCACTTGGAGAGTCTTGTAACCAGCAGGCCCAGCCCTCAGCCATTGGCAGAGACCCCCACCCCCAGTCTCCCTGAGTTCCCTCGGGCAGCCTCCCAGCAGGAGATTGAACAGTCCATCGAAGCACTCAATATGCTGATGCTGGACCTGGAGCCAGCCTCGGCTGCTGCCCCGCTACATAAGTCCCAGAGTGTCCCTGGGGCCTGGCCAGGGGCTTCCCCACTCTCCTCCCAGCCCCTCTCCGGATCCTCCCGTCAGTCCCATCCACTGACTCAGTCCAGATCGGGCTACATCCCCAGTGGGCATTCCTTGGGAACCCCTGAGCTGGCCCCACGGGCCTCCCTGGAGTCTGTCCCTCCTGGCAGGTCTTACTCACCTTATGATTATCAGCCATGTTCAGCTGGGCCTAACCAGGATTTCCGTTCCAAGAGCCCAGGCTCTTCCTCCTTGCCTGCCTTCCTTCCGACCACCCACAGCCCTCCAGGGCCTCAGCAACCCCCAGCCTCTCTCCCTGGCCTCACTGCTCAGCCTCTGCTCTCACCAAAAGAAGTGACTTCAGACCCCTCCCGGACTCCAGAGGAGGAGCCATTGAATTTGGAAGGGCTGGTGGCCCACAGGGTAGCAGGTAAGAGATGTTCCATCCTGACTCCTTCTATCCCTTCCTTATTTGTTCTTGCTGTGGGGAGGTGCAGGCCCAGCCATGACCTTGAAGCAGGCATCGCTTTCACTGGTGGGAAGAGGCTCTCTGGAGCCTACATGCTTGTCAAGTTTTCCCTTCCTGCATTCATTGTCTGTTAGGCACCAAGCCAGACACTGAATTTCAAAGTTCAGTGTCAAGCAGTTCCTGCCCTCAAGGAGTTTATAGTCTAGTGAGCGGTCAGGTACACAGACAGATGGTTCCGTTGGAGAGTAATGTGTGCTGTGACAGAGATAGGATCAAGATCCCAGAGCCTGAGAAAACAAAGCTTACCGGCTAGGGCAGTCAGGGAAAGCTTCTAGGAGGTGGTGACTTTGGGGCTGGAGTGCCGACTTTCTAGACAGAGAGGAAACTCTGCAATTGCCTGTCATGCTGTCTGTCCTCAGACTTCAGTTCCTTGGGGGACACATTGAGAAGGCTGGTGTGAGACCTTAGACCCTCCCCTCCCAGAGGCCATGAAAGAGCTTGAGAAGGTATCCTCAAGCCCTTGGGCTCTGTCTGCTGAGGCCTCTTGGGATATTGTCTTTGCAGGGGGTCCAAGGTCCCTCTTCTGAGTCAGTTTTCCCGTTAGTCCTTGCTGAGGACCAGCCCTGTGTGGGAAGCAGGCACTGAGAGACAAACCTCCTTTTCCTATCAGAGAGTGGGCTTCTCTTTTGGGAGAGAGGAAAGTGGGACACTCAGAAGAGCTTTTGGGGAGACAAAGACAAGAAATGGTAGCATGTCCAGGGCCGAATTGGGAGGGGCAGCTGTGAGGCTCCCTTCCTGCTGGTCTAAGCCTGGGCCGATTCCACAGGGGTGGCTGAACTGGGCAGGAAAGCTGGTTGGGTGACTTTATTCTGGAGTTGAAGCCCAGGCAGGGGTGGACCAGAGACTGTGGGTTTGGGTGGGCCTTGTGCCAGCCCCTCAGCTGACAGAGTGGTAGGAGCTCAATAAGGAGGCGAGGAGCCTGGGCAGCTGTCTCTGTCCTCCACCCCTTTTCCTAAATTTAGGGGAAGCTGAGTCACCATGCCAGCTGCAGGGAGAGAAGGAGACACCCTCCCTGGAGATGGACTGTGGGCTTGGGGAAGCAGCTTGGGGCAGGCCAGCTGGCTCAGGACCTGGGTGTGGGGTCACAGGCACCCTGCTCCTATACTTCAGAGTAGAGCAGAGTTCCCAGCTCCACTGTTGGTATAATAGCTTGAAATTGGCCAGTGCGGGAGTATTTACACCATGGAAATTGGCAATCAGCCTCATCATCTCCCATAGAGAGCTGATCTAGCAATAACCATTGCTTTTACCTGAGCATCAGAACACAGGATGGGCAGCTCTTAACCTTAGGGATGAAATGCTCCAAGGGTGGTCCAGATGGGCTTTGACTTCTGCCTTCTCCATATCTGGGTCCCTGAGATAAAGATACCCACCCTGCCACCCCCTACCCCACCCACTGGCTTTGTCAAAAGAGACCCTTTTCCTCTTGGTTTTATCGAGAGGAGAGGGACGGGGCTCCCTAAATTCCCTGGGAATTTAATTCCCTTCCTATTGTTTTGCAAGGTTGGAGTGGTGGTCTAAAGATTAATGATATGCTAGTTTAACGAGAGGTAGGAGCCAGGAGGCTTCTGTCTGGGGGATCAGAATACATTTCTTCCCTACAAGAACCCTTCCATGTAGCTCTCCTGGAGCTTGCTCAAGAGGAGGCCATAACCCTAATGGCCCTGGCAGGATGCCCATCGGTAGTGGACTTCACTTTAGCCCTTTCTCTCCTACCAGTTTTTGAGGGCTTGACTGTCAGCTTCTATATTCTGTAGCTTCTCAGGCTTGGCTGCCATGAAATCATAGGGAGGGAAGGATACTGTTGTCGTAATGTTCCCATTCCCTAACCCTGTCACCATCTTCTCCATCAACTGCAAGGGACTCAGGAGAAGGGATGGAATGTGTACAGCGGACAGTTATGTTTGGTTCCCAGGGCTATGCAGTTGCCTCTTTGGAACTTATTTATGAATTTATGTCAGCAGGTCCTGCGTGCATAACTTCCTTAGTAGCCCTTCAGGATATCTGCGATGCCTGTGTAGATAAAGGCAGACAGACAAGATCAATGTGTAGAACAGTCTGGGATCCAGAGACGATGACTTCCAGCACTGCTTCTTTTTGCTCTTTCTACATCTCTGCTGTAAGAAGCTGGAACATACGCTTTGACATGAGCAGCCTAGGAAACTCAGATCTGTGGGAGAACCTCTTCATGGCCATGAACTTGATCTGATTTCTCCTGGCTTCTCTCCCTCAGCTCTGCCTTTTCCCCCTTGGCTGTCCTCCATACCTCAGTCCCATGTCCCTGGTCCATTCCACTTTGATCCAATCACCCCTTGTGCCTTATTTCAGCTGAAGTTTTAAAGAATGTAGGGGCAGTTTTTCTAATTTGATAAAGGGTAGGTGCCAGAAACCTATAGCATACATCACACTTTCTAGTGAAGCATTGGAAGCATTCCTATTACAGCCAGGGACAAAATAAGGATGTCTCTTATCACCACTAGCGTCTATCATTGTATTGGATGTCCTAGCCAGTGCAATAGGACAAGAAAAAGAAATAAGAGTCAGAGTTGGAGAGTCCCACTGAGTTATCTTATGTCCCTTATTCTGTGACTAGACTGATCTCAGGTGTCTCTAGAGGTGGAGATTTCAATGCATGTTGGAAATCAGATATAGATCTTATCCTTAAGGAGTCTAAGGTTTAGTAGGGGGAAAAAACTGGAACTTTAAAATAGTCTGTTGTAATAAGAGAGGTAAGGAGAAAGCTTTGCAGGATAGAGGTAAAGAGATCACTATCAGATGGAGATTGGGGAGGCAGTGTTAAGTGTGGTTTTAAACTGAGCTTTGGAAGATGGATAAGATTTTGATAGTGAATGGGATCACTGGATAGACAGGGTTCACAGTGACGACGGGAGAGCACAGAAAATGTTTGGAGAACAGCAAGCAGATTGAGAGCATTTAGTCGGTGTGAGGGAGATTTGGGATAGATAACCTGGGGTCTGTCTCTGGATGGTCTTATATACCAGACCAAGGAGCTTGCATCTTACCTGGCAGCAATGCAAGAGGCCATTCCTGTGGTTTCATCGGGGGAACGTGCCATGACCAGAGCTGAGCTTCAGGATGATGTGTCTAGTGGGTCTGGGCAGGAAGGACATTCCATGGGAGACTTTGGGCCGGGAGATGCTAGGAGCTTATTAGATAGTGTAAGTGATGCGGGGCTGGATTAGGGTGCTGACCATAGGAATGCAAATGAAGAGAGGACGGCCTGGATACTGTGGGAGTAGAACCAATGCACTTATGTGTTGATTGGCTGGAACGGGCGAGGGAGCAGGAACATCAAAGATAATTCTGAGGCTCTGTGAATAGAAATAGAATGATGGTTCTATTAACAAGCAGGAAGGCAGGAGGAACACATTGGGTGGAAGAGATGAAGCCCTGGTGTTAGATAATGTTGATTTTGAGGGGACAGTGGAGCAGCCTCCAGGAAGATACTTAGGGAAGGCAGTTGAACATTAGAATTGAGCTTGAAAGAATGGGAAGAGCTACAGGTTTTGGAATCATTCTCACAAAGGTGATGGTATGGTTCTCACGAAGCTTTGGGTGTGTTTGAGATCTCAACGCCAGGGCTTGTAGAGAAAAGAACTTAGGATGGAATAACCTCAAAGGGAGGTTGAGGCTGCAGAGGGACTGAGAGTGAGTGCTTGGGTGGTGGCAGGAGACAGGACAGTGTGTCGTTATAGAAGTCAAGATAGTAAAGGGTTTCAAGGAGGAAGGGCAGGAGGTTAGCAATGTCAGCCTGGAGAGATCATGAGGAGGACTGAGAAAGATCCACTGGGCTTGCCAACTGGTGGTCCTGTGTAAAACATCAAAGGCATCAAAGGCATATTTTCCTTGCGTGGTGGTGATAGAAACCAGACTGTGAGGGGTTGAGGATGAGTGGAGGAGGAGTGAAGACAGCCAGCCAACTACTCTTTTGAGTGGTTTTGTGATAAGACGGGAGAGAGTGGTAGCTAAAGAGGATAGTGAGAGATTGGAAACTTTTTGTAAATATAGGAGTCATGAGAATGTTCATATGTAAAAGAAAAGAGGAGTAGGTTGGGCATGCGAGGAGGAAGGAGGAGAAAAAGAAAAGAAAGAAAAGTTGATAGAATAAGGTCTGTAAGGAGGTAAGAAGGGAGAGGCCTGGGAGCCCACATAGGTAAATTAGGCTCAACCAGGAGGTGAGATACCTCTTCATGGAATTAGAATAAAGGGTGGATAAAGATAGAGATTGATGTCAAGCTTTGGGAACTTGTTTTTTTCTTTTTTACATTTTGTTCTGAAAATAGGAGATGAGTTCAAGGCTCGTTTAATCATTCATTCAGCATGAGCTTCTAAAGGGTGCTACTTGCCAGTCTAGGCTTTGTGAAAATGGTGGCGAACAAGACAAGTAAAAATCCTTGCCGTCATGGCTGATATGGACAGTGAACAAGTAAGCAAATACACATAGGATATGTCAGATGGGCGACACGTGCCACTGAGATAAAGCAGTGGAGGTAGGGGGTGGCTGGCTGTACTTTACATAGGATGGTCAGGGCTGGGCAGTGAGAGATGAGCCCCACGGAGCCTCAAGTGCAGAGGCCCAAGGCAGGAGTGTGCCTGGCATGGCTGGAGCAGAGTGATCGAGGGAGGCATAGCAGGACACAAGTTCAGAGAGGAAATGGGAATGGGGACAGCTTGCAGAGAGTCTTGGAGGTGATTGCAAGAATGGTGGCTTTTACTCTGTATGGTGTGAGAAGCCTTAGGAAGGATTTGGGCCCAAGAGTGACATTATCTGTCTTGTTCTGAATTGACCAGTGTGGGCAGGATGGAAGGAGGGAGACCAGTTAGGAGGCTGCTGCTATTCATCTGGGCAGTGGTCACGGAGAGGGGAGATGTGCTCAGAT